GATGGTCTCTTAGCTGGTTCTGCTGAGGGAGACTCTGTGGATGGTCTCTTAGCTGGTTCTGCTGAGTGATTCTCTGCTGATGGTCTCTTAGCTGGTTGTGCTGAGGGAGACTCTGTGGATGGTTTCTTAGATGACTCTTTTGTGGCTAGTCTTGACAATGGCATTTCATTCGGGAGTCCCTTAGTGGTTGGTTCAGTTATCTCTGAATTCTCAAATGGAAATAATGCTGTGGCAACGTGAGAGACGACATCAGAGAAAGAGCCACTGAGGAGGACCTCCAGCAGAGCTGCTGGGGCCACGCCCACGGAGGAAGCGACGTCATCGCAGAGACGCAGACACTGCAAGGAGTCTCCTCCGCTGAGCAAGAAGCTGGCATCTGCAGAAACGACTGCATCGTCTGGAAGGCCCAACGCATCCTAATAAAACGTGGTCAGAGTGAGAGAGGCACACGTTAGCCCCCAAAAAGGACCTTAATGAGAACAAGACTATAATCAACGAGGAAATATAAGATCAGACTGTCAGGAAGACCCAAGCAGACGGATTATGAGTGAAACATGTATCTGATATTGGTTTTACCCTCCAGAGTGTTTGCAGTCTGCCAGCTACAGAATCCCGTTTATCCAGCACAATGATGGATCCTCTTCTCCATTTACTGTAGAAATCCAGTAGCTCTTCAAAGCATACCTTACCTACAGAATTACATACGATTAATCAAAAAACTTTTTTGTGATTTTGGTTTATAAATATTTTTTAATAATAAGGATTCAATAACTCCTCTCTGGGTTACGATTTATCTACAGATTGATGGGTAGATCTGAATAAGCAGGACTAAGAGCTTGTCAATGGCGCAAAGGCTTGGTGTACCATGTGTGGATGTAGGTAGCATCCTGAGAGGTATCAGGGTATCTGGAACACCTTGAGAGGGCAACAGTTTGGAGAGACTATGCAGTATTTCTCTCTGAAGGTCTCTGGGAAATGGGGTGAGATGACCACGAGAGTCTCTAGAAAACGAACTTCCCAAAGAAGACGTCTGGTCACCAGTAAAGCCGGCATGGTTCACGTTGGAGGTAGGATCTCCAAGTTCCGGCAGGAGATACATGGAGGAAGCTGTGGCATATCCAGATGAATGGGTGCCATCTTCAGCAAGAGGCTGGACATCTTCAGCTGAAAGTGCACGATCTCCAGCGGAAGTGCTTGGAACTATAAAAGCCACCAGTCTGCTGTGACAGAGCATCACTGCACAAGCATGTACCTGAGGCAACAGCTCTAGTGCCTGAAGGCGGAGGAGGGGGGGGGCACAGTGAGGAGGGTTAGTGATTATAATGTCCTTATAGCGCATGTAACATCATGCATGTTGCGCCACATTCTCAGCAGCTCACCCTCTGGACGGCATCTAGGTGCACCTGTTGCCCATGCCGTTTGACCAGCCGGTCCCTCCTGCCCACAAAGTAAAGATGGGAGTTCTTCACCTCCACCCAGTCACCTGTTCTCCTCATAGTCCCTGGCACCACTTCTGTTTCATCACCCAGGTAACACACCCTACGCTCCCCTCCTGAAAGCCAGACAACTGTTACCATACACAGAGAAAGACAGAAAGCCTGACAGATGACTGTCACTATCACGCTCATGGGAGTTTTAATGAGATGTCTTGATCCTGCCTCCTTTAGTCGATTGGACCCACCTCCTCTACAATCTGATTGGTTATTTCTCTGAACCAATCATTTTTCATTCTACCCTCAGAACATTTTTGTGTAAGTAAAACTCCCACGAGCCACTGCCACCATTACCTATGCACACCTGTCCTTCTCCTTCAGTGACAACACAGCCTCTCTCATCCTTCACTTCCATGGTAGTGCCCATCAATGGTGTTCCAAGATGCACAGATGAACCATCCCTTTAAGGATATAGACAGGTCATTTATTTAAATCCAACAGAAACATCCCTTTAAGTCATATGCCCTCATAAATCTGTATGTGCATACAGATGACCTCACGTGGTAGTGGTGGTGGCCAACTGGCTTGCAGGAATCTCGTAACAGCTGGCCCAACAGGAGACCTCGGTGATGCCATACAGATTGAACACACGCGTCGCATTGCCCTGCTGCCTCCAGCTCCGGAGAAGGGACAGGGGGGGACAGGCCTCGCCCCCCAGGGCCAACACACGCAGAGGGGAGGCTTCTGAAAGCAGCACCCCCTGCAGGATATTCCTGCCAAAGCGGGCCAGTAAGGTGGGCGTGGCCTGCACAGAGCACAGCAACAGGGGCAGAAAGCTCAGAGTTCAACATCACCTTGTACTAATCAGAAAAGCTGCATTACTACAATATCTACATTACCAGTGTACATCTATACTGGATAACATTCACAATATAAAACATACAAATATTACTGATCCATATAAGATGAAATTACCCAGGAGTAAATCAATCTGATAGCAAGAGGTACTCTGCACTTATATCAGGTGGGTTCCTAGAACTCTTCCTAGAATCACTCCCGTTTACTTATTTCACCATTTGTCTATTTCACCCTTTTCTCCACCCCATGCTGCTTCTGGCTGTAGGTTGACAGTCTAGTGTAGAACCCCAAGCCCAACCAATTTACCTGTAAAACTGTTGTCTTATGATTGGTGAACAGCACATTGACCAGCTTGGAGGGGATCCTTTTAATAAGTGTTGGGACAATCAGAAGACACGCCCCTGATGACAAAGCTAAAAATATCTCCACCACAGAGGGGTCAAAGGTCAGCGGGGAGGCCATGAAAATGACATCACTTGCAGTTATCTGAAAAAGAGATCTACAGAAAATTATTAATTAGAAGACGGTATAGCTTGGGATCATGACGCCCTCAGAGCCTTGTATGGAACACAGACACACCTGGAGATTTTTTATTCTACATAAAAGGACTAAGTACATCTACCAGTACATTAACATTCTATTTATTCAGTAGATTATTTTTTCCCCAAAGTGACATACAGTTTTGAAAAATGCAGGGTCAGTCAGTCCCTGGAGCAATTGGGAGTTAAGGACCTTGCTCAGGGGCCCAATGGTGACATCACTCTGCCGACCCTGGGATTCGAACCGAGGACCTTCTGATCACAGACACAGTATCCTAACCCCCCGCCACCAAAAGAACAAAATACCCAATAGACTGCGAAACTATGAGTTCATATTCACAAGTTTGCCAAGACTAAGCTGCAGGCCTGAAGTCGACATCCATGTACGTGCTCACCTGAGGTGTGTGATGTTGGGCACTATGCACTGGTGGGGCACTTTGACAGCCTTGGGCAGCCCAGTTGTCCCTGAAGTGTGCAGCACGTAGGCCAGACCCACCAAGCCTGCCCTACATCTCCAAGCAGAAGGGGCTGAATACTCTGCTGCCTCCCCTTGCTTTGTTTGCTGCTTTGCATAGCTCTGGATCCTCACCAGGGTCAGGCCCTGACTCGGCCACTCTGAACAGATATCCACTGATACACTATCGGAAAACACATCAAGGAACCTCTAAAGTAAAGAGAGAGTACAGTGAGGCAAATACAGAACGCTGTTTTCCCACAGTGAATTACATTTTAATGTGGTAGCTGTATAATATCACTGCAACTTATTTTATTTACAAATAATGCATTCAGGAATAATTCCGGTATTTCCTAATTTCATTTACAAGGGAGATGACACCAGACAATAATTATAGGCAATAATTATCCATGCATACATACAAACTATGGTTATGTTATAAACTATTACATGTATACCACAATCAGATTTGAAAACCAGAGTGCAGGCTATAGTTCTGATGGAAAATGCTGAATTGAGAGCTAATGTTTATGCCTCCACATGCACAGAAGGTCTAGTAGCAATACAAATTACACAGATGAGTCCTGTGGTACAAAATAACACAGTATGATAAACAAGCCTGAATTGATCTTGACAGAGGCAGTAGACACCTACATTTAAATTACATTACCACACTGATACCATATAACGGATTAAATAATGATCAGACTATATCCTGACATATACTTCCGGGAACTCAGACTGTTGAGGGTTCAGTTTTACCTGAAATAGATCACTTTGTATTACGGAGAACTCTAGCCCGCATTTTTCCATGATCCTAACCGACTGTTGAGATGGAGCGTCGAGATCAATCGGCATGTATGCTGCAGGCAGCTTTAGGATCCTGAAACATTCAGAGTCCGACTTCACATCTTCGTTTCAGTCAGTAAGCACAATTCTATGTATATAAGGACGTTTATGAGACATAAAAGAACATTGTATGATATTACGACCGCGTTTTTCATCTTATACAGTTTTGAAGAATATTTAATAAGAAAAGTAACGTTCTACAGAAAAAGACACATTCATTCAGAACATAGCACGGACGACCACCAAAAGTTCTAATAAAATAAAAAATATATTGACGTAATACCCAAGTATCCAAATGGGAACCCTGATCCCTGGCTGACAGCACAAGCCAATTATCTGTTCTTTTAAAACACCGTGCTTCTTAAGCAAGACAGTTAGTTCATCAGCACAGATCAACAGCTGATTATAAGTTAACGAAGAGCAGCCTTGGTCGTCCCCACTATCAAACTTAACAGCTACTCTGGCTTCATATTGACGTGCCGCTGCGTGCACCATCCCATGCAGCGTTTCCATTTCCATGTTCCACACAGCCCCGACTGAACCAGCACCTGAACCACATGCACAAACATTACCACGTGACCACCCACTTTGGCTGTCGACTGCTGGTGACGACATACCTATGAGACGCGCGTCACAGCTCGACAGCCAATCATGTTGCCTTATTTCTTGAGCCATGTTTGAATCGAAGTTTCACCCGTACCCAAGAAAGGCGGTAGTTCCGCAACAAGTTTTTCTGTTGTTGGTTCCGTAATTTTCTGTTTATATTTTACTTTTTTTTTTTTACCTGATAAGAAACATGGATGCTTATATTAATCTAAAACTGAAAGAAAACGCAGAAATATACAGAAATTCTCTCGAAAGGATCGTTGAAAAAGTGAGTGCTCTTATCTCCAGTATTACTTACATTAATACTATCAGTATTGTTTTTATGGTTTCATTTGTCAGACTGACATGACAGATTCTGTATGGTGGCTCTTTCCTCTGCAGTACTCAAACGTGGACGGATCGGGGGTGGAGGTGTGTTTGCAGTCCATGACCTACCAGACAGCTGAAGGTGGTCCTTCTCGTTTTTCTCTCTCCCTGATTTGCGTGCTCTTATACTGGATCTGCGGCTAGGTGTCTCTGATTTTAGGCATTCACCTCGTACAATTTGGTGAAAAGTATCCCTGTACATTTACCTGCGGAGTTATTTACCCCCATCGGCTGGATACACATATAGTTTGTGCAACGTCTAATCCACATAACCACCGTATAATTCTTATGAGAAATAAGATATCTGTTGTGGTTAGCGTCGCTGACTAACTTAACAGGTGGCTGGCGAAAGGTTTCTTGACTTCAATCTGTCTGCGATCTGGTAGAAGCTTTTACTGAAATAGCAGGCATTAATACAATACTTACTGTATCAGATCCGATAACTGGCGTCCTGTTATTAGAACTATGCCAGGGTCGGTTAATAATTGAATAAAGAGTAATTAGTTTGTTCTAGCGAAAATAACACGCTATAATACACAATCTAATAGAAGCACTTAGATGCGTGACTGTCTAGTTGAGGCCATTAGACTCGTTGTTTTAAATTATGTTAAGGTTATTGGTGTTAGTTGGAAACGCTGGGAAAATGCTTTTTTGGATTAATTATTTAGGTTGGATTTTTAGCATAAATGCATGTGAGTGTTCAAATTTTAATTTATGCAAAGATGCAAATTCTTAATGCAATTAGTGACGTTTTAATATTAAGTGACAAGTACAATTTGTGATCATGTGTAGTTCCTTACCATCAGCAAAATAATAGATGCATGTAAATTTATCCATTTCAGGTATTGTTCCCTGGGATTCAGTACATATAGGAAAAAGAAAAAAGTCGTTAAAGGTATGTTGATTGAATACCTGTCAATATTGACCACAGCTCAGTACCTATTATTATTGGGTGCCACGAACTCAATGTGATGGCCGTATAGATGCCTCTTCTCCAGAAGGTCCTGCCTTTTCTCTTGGTTGTGATGACTGTAGCCACCTGATTGCTGTTTGTCCTTTCTCTTTCTCCAACAACCTTTCTAAGCGTTATGGTCATTTCAAGTGCACCGGGTCTTCACATAAGATCCCTAAAATAGGATGGCTTTAATCTAATGATTTGTATTCTAAGTCAAAGTACAGTCTCTATTCAGTCAAGAATCCGCCGGTTTGTTTGCTTCGTGATCCACAGTCGGGACCAGAGTTGAAAGGCATACTCTTCTTGTTCTGCTTCATCATTGCCCAGCTTTCTCCCCCAGAAAGAGTCACAGAAAATACCCTATGCTGAACAGTTCTTTGTGCTACAGTAGATACAGTATGCCAGTACTCTGGAAGGCTGAATACCTGTACTCTTCCTCTATACTCCTCTCTGTCACGTCTTAATTTTCTCAGAAGGTGGATGATTCATGGATGCCAGCTCAAGAGAGAGGTATAACATTTTTTGATTATTATTATTATTTTTAACCCCAAACGATTATCAGCAGATTCAACATCATTTTCATGTAACACCTTAAATGCTTAAAGGAACACTTACCCTGTTCTAATGTTCTTCTCATTTGTCTTATAGGTAAAGGGAGCACTGGCAATACCCAGGTTGGTTGTCTTTTAATTGGACTATTTGGTAGCTTGGGTTACTGTTGGCTGTATGGTGGCTTATATAAATGTGCACCAGGTACCAAGGTGTGTGGTTATACGAAAATAACCGACGACAAGTTGTGGCCCAGCACAAGGTGAAGGGCGGCTGAGTTGGAGTTGGAGTTGATTATCTTCATTTAACTGCTCACCTCAAAGTGGTTTATCCTGCGTTTACCAAGAGTAACAAGGGGGAAAAAATATTATTTGAATAATAAGTATTATTCTAAATTCTAATAATTAGAATTTAATAATGTTCTGAAGTGTCCTTAAAGGTATACTCCCTATAAGGATAGATCATACGGTCAGGCTACTCACTATAAGTGGCAAGTCCCTTAACCACTAACAGACAGGTGCTTGCATTATGAAAACTGCGTATTTATGAGTAAAAAAGTCACACAGGTTTTTATATGGACATGTTTATTAGAACATTAAATTGCATTAATATAGAACTGATATTAGGATGCCGGGAAGTAACTTTCATGTAACTGCACAGCTATCAACACCCTCATGACATCTCTGCACCAATAACAAAATGGTATTTACCAAAGCCATTGTATAAATGTTCAGAAGAGAGACTGCTTGGGGGTGCTTTTGTGCCTGTTTGTTCTATTTCATTTCCCTGGGGGGGGGGGGGGTGGCATCTGCATGCTTTGTGGTTGGAGGGTGGATGGGCCACAGCTGACGACACTCTGACACCTGTGACATCTCACCATGTCTACAGCTGGAGGTCTCCAGACGGTGTGACGAGCTGCTGTTTTCGATGGACACCTCTGCGGGGACGTGCGCTGAGAGCGTTCTCTGTAAGGATGGGGCGTCTACACGGGGGTCAGAGTTAGCTGGCAGCATCACACACACACACACACACACACACACACACACACACACACATACGGCTGTTAAATCCGCCCTGAGGGTGAGAGATAGCAAGGAGCCTTTGACTTAGACACACATTTTCATTATACTGTAGTGTGATTTCATACTCTCATAACAGATGAGGAATCCACTTGCAGAGTCTTGTTTCAGCAAAATGATGGTTTATTGCACAGTAAAAATAATATAATGTAATACAGTGTAGACATACATCGGGCATTGAAAGGCAGCTGAAATACAAATTAATGACAGTTCATACCCCAAAAAACCCTCCCCAACAAGGGAATCTATGAAGGTGTTGTGAGTGAATTTGCATTAAAAGGGTGACCTCCTGGAGCGTGAGGGTCCTAGCTACGTCCACACTAATACGTAAACATTTTTTTACGGGAGTTTCCGAAAGAAACGATCTGCATCCACACCACTGTTATCACTAGGGCTGCGTTCACACTGCTCCGTGTAAGATGACGTAGCAATGTGAGTGGTTGTTAATGTATTTCTGACATTTTTCATTTGCACATTTAACCAAATATTTTTAGAAGTGGCTCACTATATATTTTACTTGTTTGTTGTAGCTCTAGCACAATGTGTCATTTTCACGTTGTTTTTGTCCAACCAAAATTTCTTTATTATTCTAGAAATGGAGAAGTATATGTTTTCATTTATTTTGACTATGATTAGTAATAAAGTTCAGTTTTTATGAATGCTTTACTGTTGATTAATCTCACACACAACCATGTGTTTAAAGTAAATGCACGCATTTTATTTAGCAAAAGTGAAATATCATAATACTGTAGCGTCGTAAACACAAAGCTGTACATAAAAGGAACCACTATAATGTTCGATGGCTGGATGTCTTTGTCATAAGCTAGAGCTGCATTTAAACTGGGCTCAGGTACAGTCTCATTTTGAGCTCCACCAAAATTGTAAAAAGCACACAATTAAACAAAACAACATAGGCCAGACAACAAAAGTCCTGTACATCCTCCATGTTGACATGTGACTTACTTCCGTGAAAACAAAGGCAAAGCATTTTTCATTCCTGTGAAGGATAACCAATCAGGAAAGGGTCACGAGCTAAGTATGAACCAATCGGCGCTCACTGGTGTAGGCACTACAAAATATTTACGTTTGAGCGTCCGCACTAATGCATTTATAGTAAGATTAGTTGTCGGAGAGCAGTCGAATTTTTCGCTATTTCTGGAGAAAAAGAAAGACCCATGGTAGTGCAGACGGTTGAACCGGTAGAAATTTTTTGCGTTACTAACTGAAAATGTCTTATTGCGGACGGAACGAGAGACAAGGATGAGGCAGGACAGGACGGAGACTTCCCGTGAGAGTAACTGGCAGTAGTCTGGCCCCTGACCTTCTCTGGCAACTGTAAATTGAGTTATATCCTTATCATTCTAGTGGTGCAAGTTCATACCCCCACCCTTTCCCTTACTTCCCCCTGATCATAATTTGCTGTCTGTACTCAAATGACCAACCAAGAACATTGGGGCATCTGTACTACTTTTCTTTACAATAGCAATGTGTGTTATAAGTTATTTACTTTCTTAGATTGCAATAGAATTCTGGCTCTCTATGTGTGTGAGGTAGAAAGAGAAGCAGGTTCCAACTCTGCGTTTCCTCTCAGGGGATTCCGGAGTGAATAGCTCACAGCTCCTCTCCAGCTCCATGAGCGATTCATGGTGCAGCCAGCAGGGGGCGCCGACCCAACCGGAGGACCACGATGAGGAGCTGGAGCGCACACTCAGCAGTCAGGGCAGCACCCTGCTGGACCTGTATCCCAGCATGCTCAGCCAGATGGGGGAGGCCTGCCGGCGGCAGCAGGTGGCGGAGGCGGGCGACGCCGTGCTGAAGCGATACCGACGTGGCTGGTTCTCCAGGACCCATAAGCCTGCTCCCGGGAACAGAAGCGGGAGAAAGCGCCACACTGCCTATGTGATGGATAACAGCGCCCCCTCTTGCCAGGAGAACGTCCCTCCTTCTCTCCTGCATGTTAGCCGAAGGATAAGTTCCTTCTCACCCCACCGTCATGCCGTTAAAATATCTGTCTCCAGTCCCCCACCACCGGAGCAAGCTGCCTTCGGCATCCAAGTCAACTCCTGCAGTAGCAGGAAAAGAGGACAGACACCCCCCCAGCGAGATTTATCCCCTATATGGGACTCAGATTCAGAGGGTGCCTCAGTAGCTGTCTCCGCCCCACATCACTCTGAGGGTCCTCCACTAGGTACAGGCCCTTTGGTGACTGGAGACCCCAGGTCCAAACCGCCCCCCAGGTCCACACCAACTCCAGCTCCAGCTTGGCTCGAAGTCTGCCTCCCTACCCCTTCACACCAAGTGCACACGAGTAGCTTGCTCTTCAATTTTCAGCTCGGCGACCGCTCCATGCGCCAGTGGATCGACCAGGAGTTTCAGAAGCTGTACCACAGGATGTTGGGTGGGAACAGACCCACTCCGCGCGTCTCTGCCACCGTGGCCACGCCACCCAGGTGGAGCAGGCTGCCACGGCCGTCCTCCTCCTCCTCCTCCTCGCTTGCAGCACTCGCCCTCTCTCCTGCTGGAACCTGGGCCAGGAAGCGGATTCGCGAAGTGTCTCCCGAACCGTTGCCGGGGTCCAAGCGCTTCCGAGGGGGAGGGCCAGGGGCAGGGGGCCGCCCAGCAGAGCGTCATCACTGCAGCAGCCTGGGCCTCCTGCCCGGCTCTCCTGCAGCGTACGCCCGCAGCCCTCCCCCTCGCAAAGGACTCCAGCTTCAGATCCCCCATGAGGGCGTGTCCGAGACCAGCTTCTATTCCAGCTTCCCATCTCAGGTAAAGATGCATCTTATTTTGACCTGATCCATCCAGGCTGCACTGTTTCCCTGAGTGTTATTCACGATTTATTTGTTTTGTACAGAGAGATGAACATGCCATTCTGACAGACATTACAGGTTAGTTTTTTTTTTCCCCCATTCTAATTATTAATTCTAATTAACTGAACACCTAAATCTGAATCCCTTAATAACCCACAGGAAATTCTACAGACACAAATTCCAGCTCATCTCCCATCAGCGTAAAACCGAAGGCAGGCTCTCACAGGTAATCCCTGAGGAGACTAACTTTCGGCTGAGTGATGGGTGTCATTGTCTGGTGTTGCACTTTCATTGTCCTGCCTCTGATTTTGCTCCCCGCAGTCTCTCTCGAAAGCGACTGCTCTACTCTGTACCCTAGCGCTTCTCCGAAGGCCTGGATTTAACCAACGGCAGCAGTGTCGTCATGCTGCTCCAGCATCCCCACACACCCAGCCTGTCCTTGTGATGTTTTTACATTGTCCCCATATACTCTTTGTTGCGACATTTGTCATTTACCCCAAGAGTGTTTTGAGATGTTTATTAAAGCCACATTGTTTGGATCGGTGTCCCTGCCAAGATCTCAAGCTCAACACAAAAGGTCAGTTAGACACCAGGAACAGACAGAATGCAGAATGTCACTTTTATTTTCGAAGAGAAATCTTTTGTAAGAACACTTCTATGGGATTAACACTTAAGCACTCAAATCGACCGGCCGAACACAAAAGCCTTGACGGGGGGCTGCGTACGACACCCCCCAACTCCACTAAAACAACAAACCAAAGATTCAGGTAACTAAGCAGCTTGAACTCATAGCGGTTTCAGTGTCACTGCTCATCCGAAAATAATGTTACTTTGATTTTAGAGCAACCATACCCTTAAATTTAACAATGACAATCTTGTTTTTAGTGGCACATTAATTGCTGGGGCTGGAATGGCTGCAAAAATAATTTTGTGTTAAAAACAACAGATATAAAGCAAGGTGGAGTCTTGCTAATTCTGAAATTAGCATCCAGCAGGTCCCACTTGAGGTATTCCAACACAGGCAATAAGCAGTCACTTCCTGGTATTACCAGAATATGCAGATGGGGGCGCAGCCGAGCTCACCACGCCAGCTCGACCGGGTACTTCCCAGTCAGACAGGCAGTACAGTGGCCCAGTCTCTTATTGGCCTCCGTCCTTTGGTCCTTTTCCTGGGGCAGGATGCCTCCCTGAACAGCTGACACAAGCCCTTCCACAGAGAGATAGCGCACGCTGGTAGCCCCTGGATGGTAAGAGTACAACTTTACTGTACAGGTCGCACCCAGCACATTAACTGCATGTTACGCACACAGAGCCCTCTGTATGTACGCCGCTGTGTGTTACTGCAATGCTTCTTTTATAACCTCTAGTCAAATTGTGCTTTGGAATAATAAGCAACACTGGACGGCAACATATGAGCACCACCTTCTGCCTCTGGCATTTCTCTGCGGAGCACATACAACACAGAGCCTGTTGACTTTAGAGATGCACTATATATTAATTAAATCAATACTGGCCAATGTTAAAAACTGAGATAGCTCCTATGTGAATCTTGACCGATATTGGTGGCTGATATTTAGACTTTAGTCAATATTCAAAGTTAGCAGCACCAGAGCTAAACACACAACTACAGAAGTAATGGAGATGATTGCACTGGATGATAAGCCAATTTCCATAGCGGAAGATGAGGGATTTTGTTGCCTTAATTACCATTTAGAATCTCGCTACAGTCTCAAGTCTGCGCTACTTCTCTTTCATCTCACTGCCCGCATTATATGACGTGGCTGCTTCACACAATCATGGGATCTTAAGAAGTAACGTCACCGACATCAGTTTCACTACAGATTCATGCATCTCAGAGGTTAGCAGGTTTTTAGCATCAGCAATATTAGGCAAAAATAGACCAGCTATCGTATTGGCCAGAACTTCCACATTGGTCCACACTAGTTGACTTACCAATGTAGCCAGCGATGTTTGCAAATTCAGGCTTGTTGGCAATGAGTTCCTCTTTGGTAGGAATGTTGATGCCCATGTAGCAGGGATGCCTGATTGGTGGAGACGCCACTCGAATGTGCACCTGTTGATAACAGAGGCTTCAAACCCGAACCCTCCATGATTTCCAAATGAAGCCCAACCAAGCACAAACTCACCTCAGTCGCTCCAGCCTCTCTCAGCAATTTGATGATCGGCGAAATTGTGTTTCCTCTGACGATGGAATCGTCAACGAGTACCACTCTCTTCCCAGCAAAGTTGTCAGTTAGTGCTCCAAACTTTTTGGCCACGCCAAGCTGCCGTAAGCGCGTGTTGGGCTGGATAAATGTTCTCCCCACATACCGGTTCTTACACAGAACCTCCACATATGGTATCCCCGCCTAGAAGAAGTGTAGAAACAGCCTCAGTACACTAAGGGCTGATTTATGGCACTTTTCGGCCACCCAAGGTACAGTACTTTTGGTACTTTCCCTTACCATTGACTTGAACCAGTCAATTGTCAGACTTGTCAATGGTCAGTCAGACTTGACTCAAGAACCAGTACCAGAAGTTCCAGTACCCAAAGTACCAAACCAGCTGGGGTATTTTTTTGGTACTTTGGGGTGAGACTTGCAAACGCTTTATTTGACAACTGGTCGTGCAAATAGCCTGTCTCTGATACTGCTGTCTTGAAAAAAAGTTACAAACTAAAATAATAATAAAGTAGAAAAAAATGAGGACATATACGTGGACAAATGAGGAAAACCAAACTTTAATTGCAATCTGGTTGAAACAAACAGAAGATGATCTGGGTGGCATCACAAGAAAAGTGTTTTGTATAATATACTAGGGGGAGCACGGTATTGGAAAAAAATAAATATCATGATGTGATTTTTTTTGTAATTAATACTGGGTTATTTATAAAACAAAAAGGGAGTCAAAATAAATTCATTTCTAACAAACCCGTCTAGGAGTGATCTAAACTGCAAGGATGAAAATGATTATGAATGACTCAGAAAGCACATGCAGCGCTCATGCAAAAACAGCAAACTCTAAGCTGATTTTTTAAACATGCACTACATAACCTTGAAAAGGAACGATCATTAAAATGACAATGCTTGCTAAGTTTTGTTTCCTATGACAGTAAAAACGTTTTAGAAACTTTAAACCCCATGCTATAATGTTGGGACAGCATGATCTCAGACCAGCTGACTATCACGGTCCTTGCGATGTAAGAATTGCATGTGCATATCATGTAATGAATACCGCATATCATTCAGCCCAACGATACACTACAGCCATCATTCTACTTCAGTACAGACAAATGAACCCGCCTCCCGTTGATGTCATTCGGTGCCGGTACCAGTTTTCACATCAGTCTACAACCAACAATTTGAAGTGCCGTACTTTTGGTTCTTTTTCTGAAGTATGAGAAGTACGGTACCTGGTGCGCTGGAGAAGTGCCCTTAAACTTCGGCACAGATGACGTACTCTATGCCATAACCTGACATGCCCCATCTCAGAAATGTAACTACACATCACGGTCATGCAGACGCCGCAGAAATGTCAATGCTAGCTAGGCCACTTGCGTAAGCTCTGCATAAATCTGTAGAAATTGGCAACCAGTATAGGTTTTCACAGAGTGGACCAATACACTACTGGGAATTCATCCTGTAACCTACCTGCTGGGCATACCCCAGTGCGGCCGGAGTGGCGGACTCTGGCACAGTGCTGACCACATCTGCATCCACCGGGGCCTCTATGGCTAGTTGCTGTCCACACCGCTGCCTGACTGAATACACCATTTGGCCTGCAACCGGGGGGGGGGGGACACAGTTGGAGCAGCAATAAAATGCAGCAGATGTGTCACCGGACGCAGTGGTGCTGACGGCTAACGGCAAAGACCACAGCATCCACTCAGCGTCACATGAACACCTGCATTGGTAACAGCATAACAGCATCACCTCTCCCTCCTGAATCTCACGCAAAAGATCTGACAGAGTAGTTTAAGATTACAAATTGGAATGCTCGTTCTATTAAAAAAAAAATATCATACAACTGGTAATTGGTGCAAAAAATCTATTAGGTACATAAGCATCTATTCCCTGAAACTGCTTATGCTGTTCAGGGTCAAGGGGGGGGTCCGGAGCCCATAGGCACAAGACAGGGAACAACCCAGGATGGGGCGCCAACCCATCACAGGGCACACTCACACCTATTGGCAATTTGGCAACTCCAATTAGCCTCAACATGTTTTTAGACTGTGGGGGGGCAGCCTGAGTACCCAGAGGAAACCACACGACGACACGGGGAGAACATGCAAACTCCACACATATGGAACCATGATGGAGACTCAAACCCGAGTCCCAGAGGTGTGAGGCGACAGTGCTGACTACTGCACCACCATGCCGCCCATTAGGTACATAAGCAAAAAGGAAAACAAATTACATACTGTACGATATCTGATCTAAAAGGTATTGAGGGGATTTTTGAAAGCAAGTTGTGTGTGAATAGGCTTGGCTTGAAGCTTAGTGTTCCGGAATTCATGGAAATTAATGGTTTAATGTAACAAGCCGATGTTGTAATATGCTGGCAGCCATAAAATGTGACATTCTGTGTGATATGATAACGTGTCCAACCTGCCTTCAAATATCGAGTCTGGACGTGCAAAATAAACATATTCAAATATGCAGAATGCAGGCCGGTCTCCCTCCGGTCTCGGAACAATACTTAATGTCTTGATTCCATGTTTTGAGATCTGCACTATTTCTCCTGGCTGCACTTCACGGTAATACCTGAAAAAGCACAAAAAAAACATTATCATCACATGAAAAAGGCATAACTAGGGATACAAGTGGCAAAAGCACATTCCAGAACCAGAACTAGAATTACTGCCGCAGGCAGGTGGAGATTTCTTGGCACAGATTGCCACCATGACAGACGAGTAGGGTTGCAAAATTCTGGCAATTTCTCGTTAATGCCCATATATTCCCGGTAATTCCCATGGAAAGTTTCCAACTTGGAATATTTCAAAAATTCCCCAGCTTAGCTTCCCATTGAATGGAAAGTAACCAGAAAATTACCACCCCTTTCATTTACAGACAATGAACAATTAGGGCATAAATAGATAGAGTTTAAAGACGAGGCACAAGAAACACAGCAGAGAAAAGTTAATGCAAGGGCAACAATAAATACAACAATTTGTGCAAATTCAAGTGATGCAGTGCTGGAGTTCACACAAGCACAATACAGACAACATAGATCTGCACTCTAGTACAGATCATACATCACATGCAGTGTGCAGATTGTCAGGGGTCTGTGTTGATGTAAACATTTAAACAGACTAAGAAACACTGTACCTTTTACTGGCCTGTTGGATATACAGAAGTTAATCTCACCTCGCTCCAATGGACTGGAAACTGCAGGACTCCGACGACACCACCCAGCCCTCCGTGTCTCCATCTGCAGCTCCTAAAGACAGCAGAGCCCAAAATATCCCACAGCGAAAGGCCAGAACATGATCTTCCTGCGGAGTAATGTTCGACTTCAGGCAGCTCTCGACTTAGGTCAAAACCAACCGAAAGATATCCGAGATACATTGAGTTTACAGAAGCACTAATGCAAATGCAACATACACCTGTAAGTAAATTTACACTTTCTCCACCTAAATTTTACATATGTTCTTTAGTACATAATACTAGCATATTTTTGACTTGTGTGTTTTTTGCTATAAGGTGTCTTGCACGGTGAGTGTGGGGGGCTACATCCTCTATACATGGTTTGGATTATTGCCTCTATTACCTCACAAGACTGTAACATAATATACTGCACACAATATAGTATTGTAGTCCAGATACCTTACATACTAAAAGAAGTGGCGATCAGGTGCCAGAAGCATACATTTACATATTACAATAGTTCTGCGTTTTATCCCAAGTGGCACACATTTTTGAGAAAGTAAGGTCAGCCATTCCCTGGAACAATTGGGATTTAAGGGCCTTCCTCAAGGGATAAACGGTGACATCACTCTGGGATTTGAATCAGCAACTTTCCAATCACAGGCACAGCGTCCTACCCCACTGAGCCAGACAGCGACCCCATACCCGAACCGTGCAGCTTAGAGATGGGCACCAAGCGGCCGATGCAGAGGGGGCGGTTCCCATAAGGATCCCTCACGGCATAAATAACATCCGTGTGCATCACCAGTAACGAGTATGAAGTAGGTGTCTCTGTCATCAGGTTCTTTATCCTGCAAAACAAAATGAGAGAACAGCATTACAAGGAGGGGATCCTACCCCCCCCCCCACCCCCACCACCTGCCATACCAGGTTTACTTAGGTCAGATTTATGTAACTCGAGAGCTGCCTGTATGATTAAGTTTCTATGTCTCTGACTACTAAATACAGTATAGCGGGACTGAAAAATGACCACTGACCGAGCCACCCAATCAGGGGCGTCCTGCTCCTCCATGGGCGGAGTCAGAGCCAGTAGCTGCGTGATGAGCTCGCTATCAGAGCTGGTGGATAGGCCAACACCATGCCTCATCACCTGCAGGGGGCGCAGACACACATGCAGGTCACCGAGGAACTGAAGATGCGCAGGTGCCATATTTCACAGGACGATCGACTTTCATTTAGTGCAGATGAAGGCTTTGGGTTATTCTCCCTAAATGTAAATATTACCACGCAGAAATTACATTCTTGGGAGTGCAACGCATCAGCCAATCAGAAATATGATCAGAGGCAAGTCAGGGAGATTAGCAGAAACATAAACGAAGATTATATAAAACCTGCACATTTCTCTATTTTTTTGTACCAATTAATAAAAATTACAAAAATAGAAAAAGTCTCCATTTCTACAGACCGTAAGGCACAACAAGGTAGTGCTGTATGTTTTTTGTGTAACTGTCTGAATGCATGACTGCCATGTGTCCCTGTGTGTGTGTGTGTGTGTGTGTCCATGTGTGTGCGTGTGTGTGTGTGTGAGGCCAACCTTCTTGCGCAGCGCTGCAGCATTGACCAGCTCCCCGTTGTGAGCCACGGCGATCTTGCCATGCAGAGTGTCCACCACGAACGGCTGGCAGTTCTGCAGCTCCGAGATGCCCGTGGTGGAGTAGCGCGTGTGCCCGATGCCCAGGTTACCCGAGCGCAGCTTCAGCAGCTCCTCTGCAGGGAATGCATTGCTCACCAGGCCCATGCCCTGGAAGTCAGCACCATCAGCATCAGCAACACTGTCTCTCACACACACACACACACACACACACACACACACACACACACACACCATCATCACCGTCTTTGCAGAAAAGACCATAATCATCATCATCATCAACTATCATTATCACTGTTGCAGCATCCATGCCTAGAAAGTCATCACTGTCTTAGTGAAACCCACATAAACCCACAGGGACACACCTCTGGATCGGGGTAAATAGGTGTGCGTATGTGTGTGCACGCTACCTTGAGGGTGATGTAAGTCGGAGGTGACGCTCCATTACTCGTGACAATCCCAGCACTCTCCTGTCCTCTGAAACACACACACATTAGCGTCAGAGGGGGGCGCTGTGCCTCACCCCAGCAGCCAGCCCCGCATGTCTGTCTATGGGTACCACACTTCTGTGTCTGTGTGCCAGCAGCAGTGGATTACAATGACCTTTAAATTCAGCAGGGGAAGCAAAGGAGGAGGTTACAAGAGGAACAATGAGCACCTGCTGTGTCCAGAAGAGGAGGGGGGGGCAAAAGGAACTGGGAGCTGTGCGGCAAGGAAGTTATAGAAACAGCTTTGGGGGTGGGGGCATTAGCAACGCTAACGATTTAGCTGCAAAATGAGGGAGCTTATATGACATAAGCTTCTCTCCCTTTCTCTCCTGCACAAGTTTGGTCAGACAGCTTTTATGGGCGGCCAGAGACACAACTGTAGGGGAAACTTCTGGAAGCTGCTCAGACCCAGCTCTCTCCCCCTCCATCGCTCGAGATTCATTCGCTTCTGAGTTGCCTTATTTGGAAATCCTGCAGCGGCAGCCACAGCGCGCTTAGCGAACTGCCTCTCGGATTACGGCCACTAGCCCCTCCCCCCGGCTCAGCCTAAGCCAGTAGCGCGGCTGGATTTGCCTGCGTGGGTGTTCCCCCGTGGCCAAACCGTCTGGTTGCCTAGGGAACTAGGCAGAAAGGGAGGGAGCAAAGTGTTTCCAGGTCATCCTGAACATGGAGGGAGAACAGTGGAGAGAGGAGGAGCAGAGCGAGAGGCAAACAAGGGAGTGGGTTAGGGAGCGGGAGGAGGAGTATGAGAGAGAGCAGGAGGAGGAGGAGAGTTTAGGGGAGGAGGGCGAATGGGCGGAAGAGGAGGTCAGGGCCCTGCTGGCTGTCTGGGCTGAGGAGGACTTTCAGCGCGGCCTGCGGGGGCCCAGCAGGGACAAAGCCATTTTTATGCACATGTCCAGTCGTCTGCACCAGCTGGGAGTCTTCAGAGACTGGAGGCAGTGTTTGGCCAAGTGCTCCTGCCTGCGGGGGGAGTACCACAGCAGCCAGCTGAGAGGCGGCGCCGGGCTCCTCGGGGACATGGACACCATCGCCGCCCCCGAACACATAGCAAAGGAGGGGGAAGAGGAGGAGGAGGAGGAGGAAGAGGAGGAGGAACAAGGAGACGAGCAGGCCTTCCCCCGCTGGGCCCCAAAGAGGCCAGAGGAGAGATCAGGGGTGAGCCCTTCAGCCACGGATGTGCTCAGGGAAGGTAAACCGCCCCTCTCTGCCACGATTGGCTAAGCAAAGAACCCAGTGGCTGTGAGGAGCCAGATGGAGAAGAATCCAGACTCCACTCTGACCCCCGCCCCCACACCCACCCCCACCCCCACACCCCTTAGCGCCTACAACAATGACCGACTGCTATCAGCTGACCTGCAACTTCAATACAGTCAAAGCTGCATCAGGGTGGCTCAGCTGAATAGGGAGCCTGATCTGTGACCGGAAGGTCGCAGGTTCAAATCCCAGGGTGGGCAGTGATGTCACCACTAGGCCCCTGAGCAAGGCCCTTAACCCCCAGTAGCTGCAGAGACTGGCTGACCCAACTGTACATTGCTTTGGATAAAGGCAACTTTTGGATAAAAGCAAACTTTTAAAAAAAAAATGCTTTACCTACTAAACATATAATCAGGCTGATTCATATAGAAATATTCATAGTCTTTTTAAATTATGTTAATTGATACCAAAAATACCTCTTGTTAATCCACTATATTTTGGTAGGAATCTCCCCATGTCATGCATGATGGGAACCAAGTGTACCATCTTCGCAGCTTAAGCTTAACCAGGATAAAGCCTGGATTAAAGCGGTCAAAACAGCGTATATGCTAACACCCTCTTTTACCTTCCAGGAGGACAGTGCCTAATCAGAGAGCCACGCTTCATCCCATCTGTGGCATCAGAAGGAGGCAAGCACTGGACAGACGAGGAAGTCCAGGCCCTGCTCTACATCTGGGCCGACCCGATAGTCCAGCGCAGGCTTCAGGGCACCGTAAGAAATAAGAGTATCTTCCAAGAGGTGGCGCAAAAGCTGCAGCGCTTTGGTGTCCACCGGGACTGGAAGCAGTGTCGCTCCAAGTACAAAAACCTGAAGTATGACTACAAGAACGCCAAGACCTCTGGGGTGGGCTACTTAGGGAAAACAATGAAGTTCTTCAGAGAAGTTGAAGCCATACTGGAGGGTAAAGCCATGAGGACCACCAGAGTCGGAGAACCAGCCTTCAGGAGAGGACCTGAAGGGGACCGGGCCATGCTCTGGAAAGGACCTGAAGGAGAGCATGCTGTATTGTGGAAGGCTCAGGAAGCAGACCGGGCAACGGTGAGGAGAACACAGGAAAGTGAGCAGGCCTCACTAGGAAGCCTGCGAAGACGACCTGACCAGAGCAATGACGTTGATGAAGGTGAGGGTTGGGTCATAATTACAGCAAAGCAACTGATAGTGAGGGACCAACAAGCCAAAAGTAACTTATTCTATTGGTGTCCTCAACCTCCCACACAATCAGGAAACCAACTTAGCATCAGGACGCAGAAGAATGAGAGTAGATACTCCGAATAAATGGCCAGCGTCGAATTAGTTTTTTTGCATACTGGTGCCCACACACATAAGAACCCATAATTAACAGAAATAAAACACGAAACTTCATATCTGACCTTTAAGGAGAGCTCAAACGAAGGGCTCAAAGTTTACCAAGTTCTGATAATGCTCTGTAAAGTGACAAGTCACTTTCAAATGACTCTAAATCAATTCCATAGAGTCTTTTTTGGATCCAAAAAATAACACTATTAGATAGCAACTAGCCAACAACAAGTATGACCATGCAACAAAAAGAGAAATTTACTAATGCATCTTCAACAGCTGCAATGTTAGTTTTCGCACTTAAAATAAAACCATAAAGAATTCTTAATTCCTTGATGGAAGAGGAGGGGCTTGCATTAACATAGCTGAGCTCCTTCCACAAACAGATTTTTAACCGATATGAATAACGGATAAACTTTTGGCTCATATTCCCGATTCTGAGAACCGACTCACCAGAGCTCCACAAATCTATAGTGAAACTGATGTCAGTGATGTTACTTCTTAAGATCTCATGATTGTGTGCAGTAACTACATCATATAATGCAGGCAGCGAGACAACAGCGAAGTGGCGCGGACTTGGGAGACTGTAGCGAGGTTCTAAGTGCTAAAAGAACCGACAAATTCCCTCATCCTCCAACAGGCTTGGGCAGTATGACGGTATTACGGTATACCCCGGTAGTTAGAGATGCCAAAGGTATTACATTTAACACCGTTAAAAAAACAAACGCTCCTCCTGCTATTAAACTGACAGGGAGAAGCTGTATTGAGGTGGTTTTGAAGTGCACAGCGTTAGCAGTAATCGGAGCCTCACTTAAATTTTTTTATTTTTTTAACGTTAAAGAATAACATGCATTGCACAAAAATAAAATGCGCTGTGAATGCACGATAAATTGTTGAAGCATGTTAGCATGTTGGTGCGCATGCAGCCACAGATCGGGCAGCGACAACGGGGTAAAAAAATAAAGGCCGATCTTTTTAACTCTTCAACAAGGAGCCGTTCCCCTAGAGCTGAACTTTAAAAAAATTAAAATGAATCAATACCATATACCGGCAATATCTAAACGGTATGATAGGATGAAAAAAAGCTTTAATACGTAGCTTATCCTTCTCTTCGTAAAATGGCTTGTCCAATGTGATTATCTCCATTATTTCACTCACTGTGTCTTTAGTGCTGATGCTGCTAACTTTGAATTTTGTCTAAAGTCTAAATATTACCCACAATACTCACCAAGACTGACACATCGGGTCAATACCGATATCTTGATATGGCGAAATTTGTGATGGCCATTGGCCCATACCGTTAACCAATATATTGTGCATCTCAAAGCAGCAGATATTCGACGGCACCTGAAGTCACCGTCGGCATCTCTGGAGCATTCCCCACAGCCCTGTTTGCCCCCAGAGGCCAGAGCTACATCTGGCCAGAACGACTTGGGGCCCCTGAGGGTCTGGCCCTTCTGTCCACCGGCCAGTAACCGTGGAACGCCGGAGGGAAACCTGGACCAGTTCCAGGTGACAGTTGGGCGGAACTGGAGTGACGAGGAGGTGCGAGCGCTCATCCTGGTCTGCTCCGACACGGAGGTGCTCCAACGACTGGAGAGATCCACACGCAACAAGGATATCTTCATGCAGATCTCGGGCCGGCTCCTGCAGCTGGGTGTGGACCGTGACTGGAAGCAGTGCCGCACCAAATACAAGAACCTCAAGTACTTGTACAGCGCCCTGCAGAAGGGCCAGGGCGTGCAGGGGCATCCCCGCCGGGTCATGAGGCTGTACCACGAGGTAGATGCCATCCTCAAAAACTCAAGGGATGCAGGCGGAAGGGAGCAGGACGTGCAGGTGGCACCGGTGAACCTGTCTCCTGCCACCGTGCTACACAGGACCGACAGCCAAGAAGGTCCGACTTCCAGTACAAACACCAGCACAGGTAAGAAGCATCACTCCTGAAAACATATCAGCGCCCTAAGGCCAAGTGACAGTTTGACCTTATATGCCAGTGTCTCAACCCCCAGTCAGTCCATGTTTTGTTCCTTCAACTATTCAAAGTTGGGGCTTGAAGGAAGCAAAAATGTAGACTGTGTAGGGGTCCCCGAAGATTGGGTTGAGAAACACTGTCATATACTAATCACTTGAACCTCTTAAGAATGCATTTTTCTACATTTGCTAATACACTCTCAGAATAAAGGGTAAACAGAATAAAGATTCAAAATGTGTACCTTTGCTTGTCACTGGGGCTGTACCCTTGTAATTGTACCTTTTAAGGTACAGAAATGGACTCTGAGGAACATCCCAAAGGTTCAAATGGCATTAATGTACCATCAATGGTACAGAAATGATCCTTAGAGTTACCTACAGCTAAGGGTACAATTGGCCGGCCCTTGAGGGTTCAGCCTGACTAACAAGCAATGGTACGAATTTTTACCCTTTTTTCTGAGTGTACTTCAAAGATCTTTCTGCACCTAAGACCAACACCAAAAGGTTATACGTTCTAAATGAAAGCTTGAGCTGCGGATATTACTGACTTATTTGTACTTAACCAGACATCATGTCGATCGAGACCGATGACACCTCATCAAACAGAGGAGTGAAGAGGAAGGCTCTGGGTGAAGGTATTTGCATTTTCTGTGCTTACATATAAACCCTTATCGAGAGCCTGTGGAACACTGAAGCACCTCCTTTGGTGAATTGTGTCCTTGGAGTGAAGCTACACCTGACCACCTCAAATGAGGGGTGAGCATGTAGCAGAACGCAAGGTGTAAAAGCAGAGATTGTGTAAAACACTTTTACTGCTGCTAATGAAATGCTTACCATTCACTGGCAAGTCATTTCATAAATTACACTGGCCCATAGTTACTTCACGCAGTGAAAAAACGCATGAAAAAAGCACAAGAAATACATTTGCCAGAAGAAAGAAGAGAAAGACCTAATACAAATGTATTACTCCTAACCAACCAAACGCATCTGCCCAAAGAGGTACAGATACAGACAGTGATGCACTGGAATCACAATAAGTATTAACTCACTAGTGAGGATCACATGACAAGGAGGAATCCATGCAGAACCAGTCTGTACATCTGATTATATTGGACAAGACAGAGAATTTATCTGCAACTAAGTTGTAAAATTACAATTACCTGACTCATTTTTGCCTAAAATATCTATTCAGTTGATTCAGGTCATCATGCAAGTACTGAATTGTTCAGGCGCTAGAAGAATATGTGTGAACTTCACATTGAGATGAATAAAAGCAGCAGCAGGCAGATTTCTCCAGCCTCTGAAATCTCTCTAATCAATAAACGTACTTTATTGGCAGATGAGTTTGACAGCAGAGTAAAATTCCTCTTATTTGCTTTGTTTTAGAGATTTGGGTGTCGTCTAAGCTCATTCCATACGGAGATTCCAATGACGACAGCTGTACCCCTCCAATTACTGACTTCCAGTGCAAAGAGGAACAGGATGAATATATTCCAATAATTCAGATCAATTCTGTATACTCCATGACGACTCCCCAAAGACAGGTGGGCACATTTCTGTTTTAACTAAAAAAAATAGTATTTATCCAATAAATTATTATACATCGAGTTTTATCTGAGAAATTTCACCTGACAATCCTTGTCAAAATATTACATTTTCAAATACAGACCCTCCCGGTACGGACACTTCACAGAGCGTTATTTAACTATAAAATTTGGCATCGCATGCGTGTAGCGTTTTGTACGCCTCGGATGATACAGCGTGGGCATAAGTTACGCGGTGTTGTAACCCCTCCAAAATCAAAACCAGCCAATACAACCCCCAGGACCCCCTTAAATGGGTGGAGACCTCAACTCCCCCAATGCTCAACCCAAAGTCTTGCCGTTGTGTTAGTGTCCCGGTTAATTAACGACAGTGAAAGATAGAAGAGATTCGAGCAGAGCTAGAATCGAGATGAATCAGATCCTTATGCCATAAAGCTACCCCATGCACTGTGGGCTGGGAGATTATTTCCTGGCGTATTTCCCGGTCATTAAATGGTTGTCTTATTAGATTCTTGCTTTGTCTGGAAGATGCTGTGTAGATCTTGTTCCGATACTGCCGCAAGCTCAGCCTACTCGACTCCTTGTAAATGGAAAACTGCACATCTCACCTGTGCTGCAGGGCGACAAGTCCCAGTGTTAATACCTGGGCCACCTCCAGCTGCGTTGGCCATTCTCCGGAAGCCACGCAGCCGAACACCCCGCACTCCTCTCCAATGCCAGACTCCTCAAACTCCATAACAAATTTCTCTCGTCCGGCTTCAAAGCTCAATCTTTTCGCACTCGGGCTGAAAGTGTTCCCCACTCCGCTCCACAAAACTACTGTTACAGCCACTAGTCGCAGCGATGCTCTGAACTACCAGCACGTGCTGCGATCCGAGCCGACCGATCCAACTCCCATTTCGGGGGGTTTAACGTCTTCCTAGTTTCACCAACAGAAAATAGTTTGATTTATTAAAAAATTTACTTAGTTGGACAAATTTATAAAGTTTTATTCGCATTTATGAACAAATTCAAAGTACAATGTCAATGCAATCATAAAAAGATTATATACTTTAAGTGGAAATGTAACCTGTATAAAACATTTGGTTCGGACCACATCACTTTGTAAAACTCCTGAAGTAACCAGCCATCTTGTGCATTCTGTTAATGACGTTATCGGCAAATATAAACATTTTAACTTTGAACTTTGCGTCTTAGATAAACTATTTGCTCATTTCGCAAACGTTTCGCTCCTTGTTCAGCGTAAATCCGATCACCACGTGGCTGAGACGGTATCACGTGGTCTGCCAGTCGCACCAGGTGAGGGTTCGGGTTCGGGGTACCGCACGTTACTTCTGCTCCTTTCGCCTTGTTTTCGGCTTGTCGGTTCATTTGTATTGCGATCACAAGCTCATTTCCCCGAGCAGCACTTGGCTGAACTTCTGCAGTTGTTTTACAGGAGCAGAGATTTCCGTCTGAAATGGCGTCTGCATCAGGTAATTCTTGATTTGCGCAATACATTTGATTAAGCCTGTTTTATTGTTTTATTTATAGTGCAATACATGTATTGTTTTAAATGAAAAAATCTAGAAACTTCAAAAAAAGATGGATGGATCGAGTACATTACTGTCACTTTTTAGCAGTAAACAAAAATACACGTATAACTCTCTTTCCTGCACCTGTCACTGATTGTTTAAATATTTTACTTGAAGCAGATCTGTTTAGCGGAAGATGATGCTCACAAAATCTTTATTTTTAAAAAACAAAAACTTTGGTATTTTTATGGTGTAATGAAAAATACGCCAGTTTTTTTTATGTGCATATTTAAGTTGAAATGTGACAAGTGAGGATATATTAAATTTGTTCTTTAAACTGAAATCGAATGTTGAATTAAGTGGCAGATAACTTGCATCAGCCTGAATTTAACATCAAGTTGTTTATGAGCCTCGTGACTTCATTGGGAAACGTGAAATCATTTCATGTCTTTCTGTGTGTTGATACTACTGGCCTGGGTTTGTCCTTCTGAACATTCGAGTCTGTTTGGGCCATTTGACCTGCTTCACATTGCTTCAGACTTCACTCTGCTGATGTATGTGTTCTCTGCTTAAGAGCTGAAGCTTGGGAAGAAATTAAATGAGGGCAAGACCAAGCAGATCTTTGAGCTGCCAGAGCAGCCAGGCCATGTGCTGGTGCAGTCCAAGGACCAGATCACTGCTGGGAATGCAGCTCGCAAGGACCAGATGGAGGGCAAGGCGGCCATATCCAACAAGACCACCAGCGCTGTATTCAGGTTGCTCCAAGATGCTGGTAATACTCTCCGTTTCCCTCCATATCTTAGCAATACTGGTTCACGCAGTGCACTCAGCTCCCAGCCTTATAATTGAATTCTGAGACATTCTCCAGCTAAGTGCATTCGATGTGTCCCTCATAAAGTCAGCTGAGCTGTGGGAGGTGCCCTCCTCACATGATGTCCGCGTTCCTGTCCGCTGCGTGATGGTCATACCAAGTGGGCAGTGGTGGCTTGATGGTTAGGGAAGCGCACTCGTAATTGAAAGATTGCGGGTTCGAATCCCCGTCCAGCAAGGCACCACTGAGGTACCCAGATGCTAAATTAGCTGCCCCCTGCTATGTCACATTGTCAAATGCAGAGAACACATTTCGTCGTTGTGCACTGTGTGCTGTGGTGTGTCAACAATGACAATTAATCACTAAATTCTAATTCTACGCGTGCGTCGCCGCAGGTATAAAGACGGCCTTTGTGGGGCAGCAGTCGGACACAGCCTTCGTGGCGCTACACTGCGAGATGATCCCCATCGAGTGGGTCTGCAGGCGAGTCGCCACCGGCTCCTTCCTCAAGCGCAACCCAGGCGTTCAGGAGGGCTACCGGTTCTCCCCGGTCAAGTTAGAGATGTTTTTCAAGGTACACATTTGCTGTCTGGACAGGGCCAGCCAAATCAAATTCCATTAACTTGATTGTCATTTGCAGTCTTCCAGCCTTCCTTCTCATGCTGACAGGATGATCAGATGGGCGCCCCCTGGTGGGCATCTGCTGCTCAGCAGCTGCTCAGTTTGCTTATGCCTGGGGCCTGATCCTCAATCTTATCCAGAAAGGGCTGTTGCATATGCAGGTTTTTGATGCAACTCCCTATGTAGATCACTAATTAGAGTACAGACTGACTGAAGAGTCCTCACACCTGGGTTTTAACAGCTGACCTAAAGGTTATCCCAAATACTTGCATACACACATATGACCTCCTAGCTGTAATACACTCAGGTGTAAATGATGGTATCTGAAGTGCTGCGTGGCTTAGGGTTTAGGGTACTGTGCCTGTGAACAGAAGGTTGGTGGTTCAAATCCCTTAGTTGGCAGAATGATTTGGCCATTGGGCCCCTGAGCAAGGGCCTTAATTCCCAATTGCTCCAGAACCTGTCTGACCCCACTCTGTCGTATGTCTCTTTGGATAAAGCTGTCTGCTAATTAAATATAATGTACTCAAAAGCATCTCATGTAAATTGTCGCTAAGTTGCAAACTGCAGTTGTCTTTTTTTTATCTGAAATTACTTGGGGGAACAAAAAACATCTGGTGTTTCAGGACGACGCAAACAATGATCCCCAGTGGTCTGAAGAGCAGCTGATTGAGGCAAAGTTCTGCTTTGGTGGACTTGATATTGGACGCTGCGAGGTGGACATCATGAGTCGCAGTACGGTGGCGATCTTTGAGATCCTGGAGAAGGCCTGGGCGACTCAGAACTGCACCCTGGTGGACATGAAGGTACAGCGCTCAATGCGTTACTCCTTACTGCAAAATGCTCATGAAGGTACAGCGCTCAATGCATTACTCCTTACTGCAAAATGCTCATGAAGGTACAGCGCTCAATGCGTTACTCCTTACTGCAGAATGCTCATGAAGGTACAGCACTCAATGCGTTACTCCTTACTGCAAAATGCTCATGAAGGTTTTATTGATTATCTTTAATAATGTATCATAAATTTGCATTAAGCTTCCCTCAACTGCATTGAAGCAGCATTTACTGTGACTGCTGAAGCATGACGTGTAGTAATGCAGGGACAAGGTGTAAGCAAATGACAGCGACTGGATTACTTTTTAAATTAACAGTATTTGTAAATATAGACGTGTGTGTGTGTATATGTATATATATATATATATATATATATATATATATATGACACACACACACACACACACAAGTGTTTAAATTTAAATTAGTTTGTGTTCGGTGAAGCTGACATGAACAACCAGCAGTGACGGGGGGGGTAATTTTCACAGGATTTAAAATGCAAAATGGGGCGGACATAAGGGGTCATATACATAATGTAGTGTGTGTGTAAATAATACATAAACCGACATAATGCTGGGGAATAAGTCATGTCTGACTAACGATAAATAAGTAAATAATAGGTTTATCCAATTTAATCTAATGTTTAGGAGCCAGGTAATGATGATCTGGTCATCAAATCATCAAAGTGCTTTATGGGCCCAACACTGGAAAATATGCTCAAGTACAAGGTTTAATACGTGAGAATGTTGGTGGGTGAGAAAATCAATCCCAAATGTCTAACTCATTGCAGCGCAGTTGCTCAATAGGTAAAGACCTGTCGATGAATTCAAATAGGAACTCTGTGTCCTGTTACGGCTTGCGAGAGGTTACACACACACACACACACCCCTCTAACAAGAGCAGACTGAGCTTCGTATCGTTATTACGCATTCAACCGAAACAGCCCCCTCGAGATTTTATGTAAAGGGCTTGTTAACTGACCCTATTGATGATTTGTACATTTTAAAATTACCTTTACGTTTTTGGAAATTTTTAATTGATGTGAGATTTTTCCAGATTAAAAAAATTTACCACATAGACAAGTCTGTGCCGTAATGAAAATCAGTGCTGGTTTTAAAGTACCGGTAGCTGTCTCTGAATGTCATCTTACTTTTAAAAAGGTAATTTACTTAATGCTGGGATGCGGAAAAGATCAGAGTTCTCAGTGCATCACTGATGATGTCATGGGTGATTTTTAGATGTTAGGTTAAGTTTAAAAAATGTTCCCATAAAATGTATAAGGAGCCGTTTTTGGGCGACATTTGTTCTTTACTGTTTTCTCACTACAGAAATCTATGGTATTCCTGATTTTGGTGATTGTTAATCTTCCACGGTGCCTTTTTTAGTCTTAAGCCACACCAGCCTGTCCTACAGCGGTATAATAACAAGGTGGTCTAATGAAGCAGGGTCATGCAGAGGGATGAGAGCTGAGGGAACAGCATGTGACTGGGGGCGTGCAGGGCAGAGCCAGCATGTTCCAGAGGATTTGTAAAAGTAGATTTAAGATTATAATTTGCATTTTGATGTTAAAATCGCCTGTAGGTATTATCTTATGAGGGGGCATCAGCTGATGAATTTGGAAACGAGATTGAGAAATTCCAGAAGATTTTAAACAATCGGTACAAGAAGCGGCACAAGCTGAATGGATTGAGGTAGGCTGAACTGGGATTAAGTTTCGGCTCCAGACTGGTAAATTTTGCTGGCATGCGGGGACTGGAGGCGGCTTAAATTTTTCTCCAATAGCCATTGGCCCACCGGTAAAATGCCCAGTATGCAAGATGGCCAGTCCTGCTGTGGATGGAGCACAGAGGAGTGTGTTGCTCTCTCCTCATCCTTTCCAGTGTAGAAAATGAAGAAGAGAATGGCATCACTGTGAATAGCGTGTTGATCCTTCTGTCTGTCAGGTTATTTGGGGAAAGAATGTAACTTCAGCCTTAAAAGGGTGAAAGAACTTTCCTTGACTTTTGGTTCTGGAAGTATACATTAAAGTTTGCTAGTGTGTGTATAACATCACTGTCAAATTGTGTGTGTGT